CAAACCGTGCGGGGGGGAGAACAGTATATAGATGATAAACTCATAAATTGTGATTATTTTTTTAGGATTCGCCGAAATATTGTTAGAGATTGGTTTTTTAAAAAATTATTTCGAAAAATTTTTTAAAAATGTTTATTTCTTTAACTATGCTGATGTATGTTAATTGTAAAAAATATAAGAATCTCAGTATTTAGACTCAAACAAAAACATTGCAGCGGATAGAGTTTAAATATAAAGGTTAGAGAATTTTAAAAAATTAATTCATGATTTCGTTTTTGGCTGCTTACTAGGGTTATGGTTTTTGCTTCATCAAGGGAAAGCGGATGGCCAATGTGAAAATTATATAAATAACCATTTAAAAAATACACATCCTAGTAACATTTGTAAACTAACAAGTAATTTTCCGAATTATAATTTTTAAAGAAGTCTTCTACCTACTAATATAAGAGAGTTCACTCTTGAAATTACTGATCATACATAAAATATACTACCCTACATGGGAGCTCAAAAATTCATAAGATTTTCGAATGATATTAAGTAAACTTAGTTTGCAGTAAAAAAATTGATATTATTTACTCATTTCACTAGTTTATTAAAAATATAATTTAAAAAATTAAAAGGAAAAGTTAGGTTTATAATACCCCTAATTAAACGAGAGTAACAATTGTTACAGTTTGAGATTCTTCACAAGATAAAAGGGCAAAATCGTCTGCAAAATAAGTTAAGTTAAGGCCAGCTTACGCATTCTGGAAATTTTTGCATTCTATAATCGAAATTTTAAAGTCTGACGACATGAATGAAATGACCCCTAGTCAAAGGAATCAATGTTAAATAGTTGCAAAGCCAATTGATTCGTTAGCCAATTGAATCTGCTAGAAAAAGAATTTTTTGGATGAAGATTCTAAAAATAGCACTGTTTTGGAATTTTTGCAATTTTTAGTAGCTGTTTAAGAAAACTAGGTACATAGAGCATTTTCCTGATGTAGCAATATTTTAATAATAATTTTGACAATTATGAATTTTACTATAAACTAGAAAATAAAATATAAAAGCTGATGTATTATCAAATTCTATCAGAAACTTACTTTTATCAAACTAAAATGTCGTTGAATAAAATGTTCTTATTCAATAAAATGTTTTATTCAAATCTCTTCAAATTACGAATTAATTTTAAGAAGACTAAACATGAAACATCGTATTTTATAATTTGGAAAAAGGATTTAGCAATCTTATAAGCAAAAAAAATATGAAATTTTACTCTACGTAGGCACAAGTCAAGTTCCTAGTAAGTTAATCACATTTAAAATTAACCACCCCATTTAAATATTTCTTAATGTTCACAAAATTATTTTTCTAAAAAATTTTTCCGGCTTCTACCAAATACAAACAGTTGAAACTTTTGATGAACCGGTATGAAAAATTTATACCTCATAATTCAAAATTTTTACATACACAATTTCATTAGATAAAAATAATTATTCGAAATTATTTTTTCTTCATTAAATTATCTTTGGATAAATGGGTTTCATAAGTAGGTGCAATTTTTTTTTGAATTGCTTAATTTAAAATATGACTGAAAACGCAAAAAGTGAAATTATCATTAATGGATCCAAAATTTGGATCAATCTCCTGCCCAAAATATGGGAACCCTTTTTCCCAGATTGACGCTACCCCCTATATTTTGAAATTTAAAAAAAAAATTTTAAAAATGTTGTTTATTCAGAAAAGTAAGATTTTGTGTCTAATTTCGTAACTTAATGGTTAGAACTAAATTTTAAATTTTTCAGTCACCCTGCACGATTAAAAACTTCTCTCATTTCAAACATTCATAAAAAAAAGAAATATTATTCCTTCCTAATATTTCCCTTTAACGTATTTTTCATCAACTAGTAACAATCTAGAGTTATAGGTTTGGTAATTTGTGGCCAATATGTAGTTAAGTAATCAACGAATTGGCACAATATAATGTGAAGTTTAAGTCAGTCCTTACCGGAGTTTAACTTAAGCAAACTTTTAAACTTGCTAAGTCGATACCCAACATCGCGGGGAAAAAATCTTTCGAAAAATCGATTTTCTAATTTAGATCATTTTATATTAATTAAATGATGTAAAAAAGCATAAATTAAAATCATAAGAATTTGTAAAACACTTGACAATATTAGTGTTATTTTGCCTTTTTATTACAAAAACTTGTTTTTGCGAGTGTTTTGTGTAGTGTTTCTCAAAAACAAAATTTTGCATCGAAGTGAAAATTGAAATAGTTCCATGCGCTATAATTTTGATGACTATTCCAAGAAACAATTGTTGCACACTCTTTAGATCAATAAAAAAAACTTTTAGAGTAAAATTTCAAAAAAGGGTGTCATAACATATTTTATAGTTATTTCAATAATTTAAAACGTTCATAAAGGGACAATTTTATGTTTGTTTTTACCTTTGAACTTGCAATTCGCGAACTTTTGAATTAAATTCTGTGAATGAAAAAGTTTAATAAAATATATAGTAATCAATTAAATTACGCATTAATCTAAAATTGCATTTAATATTGATTCTTTTTTTAATAGCGTAAAGCAAAATATAATACTTCAATAAACCTAATTTATGAAATATTTTACCGAATTTTCATTGATTAAAGAAACAGATTTAGTCCGCCCGTTTAATTAAAAATAAAATCTTATCCGTTTTAATTACAACGCATGAAAAGTTTTCTGCAAAATTAATTCTATTCAGGATTGGCAAGTTTTTGACACATGGCGGTTTTTACCAGTTTATACCATGGTTTTTACCGTCATGTCAAAAACCCCTCTGTCAAAAATCCATAGTTTTGGTAAAACTGTATTTTTATTTGAGTTTAACTGCTTATAATTTAAATTAATTCATTTTTGGGCAATAAAATTAGAAAAAATGAACTTTTCAAATTGAATTTTTCTAAACAAATCTTGTATTTTTTAAAATTTAATTACAGTTATTTTCCTTAGATATGTTGCATAACTAATTAGAGCTATATTGAGTCCATATAATGTAAGCAACAAAGGAGATTATATAAGCATCAGGAAGAAAAAAAATAAAGTAAAATGTGCAATACAGATTAATATGTTCATTAACTGGATCAGGCAGTATCGCATGACAAAAAGTTTCTGTCAATTAAGCAGATTAAATGGTATCTAGATGCATGTTATCATCCAACTATTTTTTCAGAAAATATTTATTCTCAAGATAATATCATATTGCTTATTAAAGTAAACTTATTGTAAAATTTAGAAATTAAAGCGTTTACTAAAATAAGAAAATGTAACTTTAATTTTATCTTTTAAGATTACCACTTTTCGGTGATCGATATATAGTATAACATTCTGCACACAGTTGTCAATAAACCAGGGTTGGCAAGTTTTTGACACATGACGGTTTTTACCGGTTTATACCATGGTTTCTACAGTCATGTCAAAAACCCCTCGGTCAAAAACTCTCAAAAACTCATAGTTTTGGTAAAACTATTTTTATTTGAGTTTAACTGCTTAAAATTTAAATTAATTAATTTTTGGGCAATAAAATTATAAAAAATGAACTTTTCGAATTGAATTTTTCTAAACAAATCTTGTATTTTTTTAAATTTAATTACAGTTATTTTCCTTAGATATGTTGCATAACTAATTAGAGCTATATTGAGTCCAGATAATGTAAGCAACAGAGGAGATTATATAAGCATCAGGAAGAAAAAAAATAAAGTAAAATGTGCAATACAGATTAATATGTTCATTAACTGGATCAGGCAGTATCGCATGACAAACAGTTTCTGTCAATTAAGCAGATTAAAGGGTATCTAGATGTATGTTATCATCCCACTATTTTTTCAGAAAATATTTGTTCTCAAGATAATATATTGCTTATTAAAGTAAACTTATTGTAAAATTTAGAAATTAAAGCGTTTACTAAAATAAGAAAATGTAACTTTAATTTTATCTTTTAAGATTACCACTTTTCGGTGATCGATATATAGTATAACATTCTGCACACAGTTGTCAGGGTTGGCAAGTTTTTGACACATGACGGTTTTTACCGGTTTATACCATGGTTTTTACCGTCATGTCAAAAACCCCTCTGTCAAAAACTGTCAAAAACCCATAGTTTTGGTAAAATTGTATTTTTATTTGAGTTTAACTGCTTATAATTTAAATTAATTCATTTTTGGGAAATAAAATTAGAAAAAAAAGTTGAAAGATATTTAAGAACAGATTCTTGCATTTTCCCAACATGATTATATAAAAATATACTATTTGAAGTAAAATATTAGGATACTAAACAAAATTTCAAACATTTCCAAGCATCATTTTGTTTGGCATATTACATTACTGAAGAATGTCAAGTCATTCTGGACTTGTTACAAGTTTTGTTTAGCTTATTTCTAATATTTAAGAAATGCCAAATTAGCAAAGCAAAATTCTTTTTAGTTCTTGAATTTATTAATAGTTCCAAGCTTTTATTGTTTGTTTATTTCCAACAATTAAGAAGTGCAAAATTTTGAATTCTTTGCAAATCAAGCTATAATGACAAACGTAAAGTATCACTATTTTCAATAAGTATATTACAATATTTCTATATGAATGTATATCTTTCTATAAGAATACATGTATATAGTTGCAAAATCAATAATAATCATTTACAACATTTATTTATAAAGGCAATTATGAGAAAATAATATAGTGTCCGCTATATGCCATAATTTAAAGAAAACAGTAGGTTTTTGACGGTTTTTACCGAAAAAAACACGGTTTTCACCACTGTCATGTCAAAAACCAGTTTTTGACGGCAAAAACCCAACCCTGACTATTGAAATAGTTTTATTTTTGAGATTAAAATTCGCTGCAGACGAAGCTCTCTAATAAGATGTAAAATTACAATTAAAACTCTACGGCTGCAGATTTTAAAAAAAAAAATATATATTGAATTAAAGTTTAGACATGATTATCAAAAAGCAAGAGATGAAGCGGATTTAGACTTACCCAGTGAAACTTCCTATGACGCAACGAATGTGTATTACGCCAAGAGTCACTTTTCGAACTACAATACTGCATTTCCAGAAACATATACACTTCTCTACAACACCAAACAGAATGAACGAGAAAATGATGCACTTTTATAGAACGATAACAACACGTGAGAACGCCTCGATCCGCTCATTTTTTTTCATATCCGAATTCACAAACATTAAGCTTGTTTCGTAAAGTGTGGAGATGGCGGGTTCGAATCCTACCTTTGCCGTGTATGCATTCTTCGTGATGTCCTTCATAAAATTGTTCGATCTCTATTCTACTTGACAAAGGTTTATAAGCCTAAATTGAGCACACATGCCTGCACATGTATGTAACTTCTATAGAGCAATAAAGTGCCGTCGTGGGTGAGGGTGAATCTGTCCCTAAATGATCTGAAGCGTGTAGAGTTCGAATCCTGTCGTAACCCTATCACCATTTTTTTCCTTCTTCCATTTGAGGTGGGTCATTGCTCATAACACACACACACACGCACGAATAAGTAAATAAAAAGATTTTATGTGGTCTAGAGGTCGGGAAAGCTTGACTGGTAGGGCATTGGGCACATGTCTGAGAGGTCGAGGGTTCGATTTTCACCGAACGAAGAACCCGTGTGTACAAATGGGTCACTGGTGCATGCTAAACCTGTAGGAATCAAAATGTCCTACAAGTTCCCATAACAAACCAGTATTGGATCCGATATTGAATGTGTTCTTGTTCAGGTCGAAATTATAATCTGAGGATGGATGGATGTTGTGTGAATGTGCCTTCCCTGTAAATGTGATATGACGTGTGTATGTTGTCTCAGGATCATCCTCAGGGTTGTTTCCCAGACCGTCACTAATAGCCTATTGAGCAGATCGAGTGCTACTTGAAAAAAGGGAAGTAACAGTACCAGTTATATGGTTAGATGCACCGGAGTTTTTCACTTTTGCTATAAATCTGCAGCATGGAAGTATCGAGGATTTGAATCCAATCATATCATTAGATGTTTTTGATACTTTCTATAGTGATGCCCATCTGTAACTTCCGTTGCCCATATTTTATTACATATTGACACGAACTTCAAAGCAGTGAGCTCACAAGGCTTATGCATAACGGCATAAAAAACGAGTTAAAGTTTTGATACGATTATGGCTCAGTGTAAAGAATTTCTAGGTTAGGTGACTAGTGTTAACGTTTCCTTAGAACTACACTGTCCCGCAGTGAACTAAAGTAAAAACACGGTTCCCTGCAGAACGACAAATTCAAGCATCTCTGAGTGTGGTCAGTATGCGAGTAGGTGACCACTTTGATCAGCTTGCTGAGGGACTGAGGGTTCGGTCCTCGTTAAACTGTTCCAACATAAAGTGCTTGACTTCGCTCACAAATTGTTTGGCTACCAAAGCAAGGACGCCATCTCCTCTGCGGAGGATCAAACTTGAGATGACATGTCTTCGGATCATCCTCAGTGATGTTTCCCAGATAGTCGCCAATAGCCCATTGTGCAGCTCTATTGCGATGTAAATGAAGTACCTACCAACCTGATCGGGGAACACCGGAACACGCACAAAAGACTTATTAATGTTTGGGGAGCGCATAGGATAAAAAAAATATTAAACTATTAAACATTAAACGTTATAAATAATTAACTGAATAAGAAATAAAATGTTAAGTTAAAACTGGGTTAAAACTGGGTAAAATTTAAGTTAAAATGTTAAAACTGGAAATGCAAGAAGAAGATTTTAGTTTCGAATAATATTTCATTTAAATTTCACAGAAGTAAATTTCACAAGAGTTGGGAGAAACTTCCCTCTTCAGCAGCAAAGCTGTCAAAGACATAATGAAGAGGGATCGGATTTTTTTTTTTTATCAACAACAATTCTCAATATGTTTTACAAGTAGGTTGTTGTAGATCGTTTACGTTGCACTAGAACTGCACAATGGGCTAGTAGCAACGGTCTGGGTTCGGTGGTAAATGTAATTTAATCTCACCGGTAATTTCAGAACAGGAAACGTAAATTTGGGAGTAAGAGAAGCGTGCTACAGAAAATGGGTGATAATCAACGCTATCATATCCAGTTGTGGCTGTGTGATCACGGCAAGGAATTGTTCGTATCACTAATGAATCCGAAACTATTGTTAACAACCCATTGGCATAGTTGTATTTTACCTTACAACCTTCGTTGAGCAGCCCATGCAGTTTTTTGGAATCACTACTGCTAATTTTCAACTCCATATTTTAGTAATTTTTAACCAAACCCAGAAGACGAGGGAATTCATGTATCAAGCAGTAGAGGGCTTTTGAAGCGAAATCGTGACTGGCTTCTAGTGTTCGAGAGGTCTGGTGGTCAAGACACCGGTCTAGTAACTGACGGCAGGGGCGAGGGGGCGCGGGTTCAAATCCCAGCTTTATCAACTTTTCAAAAATTTTCTTTTTTTTTTCTTCCCATTATTTTGCATTATATTATTTATTCAATGTGTTTTTCCATATTTTAGAGGGTCATACATATAGGAAATAATTTTTTTAAATTGGCAAAATAGCGAATAATGTGTAAAAACTGGAAATATCCAGGAAAATTGGCTTATTTCCATTGTTTTAAATTATTTTTACAATATATTCGACAGTTTCTCATGCGTAAGGTGTTCTATGAGTAAAATTGTGCATCTTTCTTTGTTAAAGAACGCATAATGGAATAATAATAAAAACAATAAAAAAAATTAAAAAAATGGATGGCTGGGGTTCAAATTTCGA